ACACTTCAGACTTCTTGATTTTCCGGCTGGCGCTGTTCCCCCCGCTGCAACACTCGCTGTGAGATGCGGGGCTTTAGCGCTCAGCCTCCTCCACAGTAATCTGTCTTCCACAAGCCATCTCGCTCGACTCTCCGAGGACCAGCTAACTGTTAATACAACGCACAACAAGGATGGAGAGAGCTTCACTTCAGACTGGCAAATTGGTCCGTGCCAGCAGGGAATCACAGTTACTTTCAACTCTCGTATAGATCTGAAAACATGTGTTTGTCTATAGCAATCTTGAGATTTGAAAACCGTTTAAATAAAGTAAAAGAGGCAACACCGGCTGCTACCAACCCCTGTCATGGACACCAAAGCACAAACACATTTATATAAAGTCATGTATCTCATAGTTTCCTTATTTGCATGCACATGCAGTATTAAAAATACAGTTAGACCAGAGCATATAGTATATATACTGTTTGAAAAAAGTGTAAAAATCCAGTGCGACAGTCATTGAGTTCTTGAGGTCTACATGATTGTAATCAGATAAAACAGCCAATGAGATGATCCAGTTTGAAGAGAGGGTGGGTCAGCGCTCTCTGTGTTGCATAAGTTTAAACTGAAGGAGCTGTGGCAGAGAGAGCCTTTAATGTTTAGTCTATTAATATTCTGAATAATTAAACCCAATAATAGAATTCAGGATGTTGAGAGTGTTTTTTCTATCTGCTTGTAATTATTCACCCACCTTCATTTCACTGTGGAAATCACTCAGCAGCTCTGCGCTAAAAACGGATCATCTCACCTGACTGTTTCACGTGCTGTTTGCTGAATGAGGCTTCCTTGATTTCCCAAACATTTCTAGATTGCACCACAACAGCGATTCTTCACATCGACATACATTTATCTACAAGCCCTTGTACAAAAGGGAGAGAGGAGTCGTGTTTGGGAAAACAAAGAGACGGAAAAATAACAGAAAAAAAAAAAACACATTGAAACACAGTATCATCATAAAGTTTGGATCAAAAATAGTTTACAAGTTACAGCAAAGAGTAGAAAAGTCACTCTTACACCTTGCAACATCTTTCTAGAACCAAGAAGGGGCCAAAAGGGCCTCTGAACGCAACTCACAGGACATTTCTTTGTATCACAAATCTTTGAATTACAGGTATATAAAGCAGAACTCAGACTAGCCAGCACCAGAGACATTCCATCATCGGTGCTGTGGCCCTGCATATCACAGCAACACACCTCCACAGAGTTTCTAGATATAATGTGGCAACTGCTGAGGTCCACTCTAGAAACTCTACGCTCATCAAGGCACATTCAGGACTCCTATATCCCTCCAAAGATAACCATAATGGGGGCGAAGCAGCTCCTGGAAACACATACTTCTTTTTAATCATTAATGTTCCAAAACCAAACCAAAAAAACTACCCCCAGAGTGTTTGCAGAAGCTGTTTCAACCACTTTTCAACCCTCTTTCCTCCTTCACATTCCTGAATGAATGAATGGATGAATGGATGGAGGGTCCCCTCCTCTTTTTATTGACAATAACGCTACCCTGCCCTAGCTCTGGCAGCGGATAGGAGCAAAGACACATAAAACCTGTCAGTCGGCACGGTTGCCATGGAAACTAGCCCTATGGCTGGACACTTTTGAGGACACGCTGCTACTCAATCTGTATGTATGGTCATGCGAGGCAATGCTATAACTACTCAGGTGCGCTCCACGGTGCACGTTTCTGCGTTTTCAAGCCCAATTTTCAAAATAAGTCTAATTTACACTTCCTGTCATTTCCACGTGGCTCAGCAGAGTGCCACCTGTCGTCAGGCTATTGTTGAGTGGTATTTCTGCAAAACACAGGAGGGTCTGTGTGAAAGAGCTGCAGGCCAGCGGGGCAGATAACAACCCTGTGGGCATATATCGCCTGCTAGAAGTGGGTGGCCAGCATATCTGCAACCACAGAGCTGAGGGGGACTACTGACTGAAGGCAAACCACTCTGACTTCAACTGAGTGCAAATAAAAATGGAAGTAAGTAGGAATTTTGAGAGCATCAAAGTCAGGGATGTCACATAAATATACTGATACACATGATACTGTATCTCAGATGTACTGTAGTGCAGCTTAATCTGTATATATTGTAGCATATATTGGCTATACTTGGATGATATAAGGTATAATAAGTGTCAGCTTCTTGTCACAAAGAAGTCTTGTCATGTATAAAATATTGATCTCAATGAGGATCAGGTACATAAACCAGGAATGCTTATAAAACCGTCAATGTATGAACTGCTGTTAAAGCCATCGCTGCTCAGTAGCTAAACTAGACAACTGTGCATGGACATAATGTGTATGTGTGTGTGTGTGTGTGTGTGTGTGTGTGAGTGTGAGGGGGAGTGAGGACATATGCATTTAGGGTCCCTCGTAACTCACAGTTGATTTTTATACCGTCCGTAAGCAGAATAATGCTATCTTGTTTTTATTCAGCTTATAAATCATGGCTGCACGCTCAGCCCTTTAATAGGTGGGGGGCGGAGGGGGTAAACACACCAGAGAACAAAAAGGCAGAACAGCCGCTGCCGCTCCATTTGAAATAAATAAATTTTAAAAAATCCTCATAAGTATTTAAATCACTCTCAGTAGACCAACGACACCGCCTACTGTGGCTCTTTGATTCCACTGTTTTAATTCTGCTGTGCAAACATGTGTTTTATAATGGCAGCCCGTCTCTGAGCTCGTGTTTCGGTCGCAAGGCTCACTTCCGCTCTGATATGAATAAGTTAGATGATCAGATCAAGAGGATGATACCATATGGCATGTTTGGCATCATTAGGGTGTCAATTTGGGAGCAGAAATAAAGGTCTTGAGCCCTCTTTGTCTGCCAGTTTAGCCCAAAAGGAAGTAAATTATCCAATATCCCAAACATCTCTACAACATGCTCGTCAGTTGGGTGCAAATTTAAAATTTTAGACTACGACTGCAGGTGACTTTATCGCCCTTAGAAGCTAGTTTGTTATGTTTTATGTCCAGCACAGACAATTCTTAACTATTTGGATATTACTTAACAAAACAATCTTAACTCAGGGCTTCTTCTGGTGCTTTTGGCCATATCACATGGTCTTCATCAGCAGATTGAGTTTGCTCAGTTGCTATGAAATGAGAGAAACTCTGAACATCTACAGTTCCACGACAACTGATAAAACTGATGAAGACTGTGGTTGAAAGCTCCAAAACAAGCGATTAAAGGAACCTTGAGTTGGAGTTTGTAGTTTGGGATATACCTAAAGTACTTCCACGCTCGGACGTAAGAATTTGTACTTTTTGTCGTAATGTAATACAAAATGCACTAAATTATCCATTTTGCGCTGACAGTTAAACAAATGGGGACACAGTAATGAGCACCAAAATAAAAACCATGAAAACTGATGAGGAAGCAGGAGAGAGAACAGAGTTTTCGGGGGGGCGACCCACTCACTAACTCGTGTCCGGACACTTTGTAAACTTGAGGCAGGGTGTTTTTATTTTCATGTTCTACAGCATAACATTGTGTACAAAATGGAGTTAATATGATCAGAAGACACATGGGAGAAACAGCAGCACTGTATGGGAATATAGCACCTCCATTTCTCCCCCGCCGCGGCTACAGCACCAGTATGTACAGTATGCAGAGACAGACCTGGGCTGAGTGTCTTTGAAAAGCCCCTTTAATGCGAAGGCCATCTTTGTGCCATTGGCAGTGAATGGAACCAAGGTGTTACTCAGTACAACGAATGCAGGTCAGGACACAGTCCACAAACAAATCCCAGACTTCCTCACTGAACTATAAGGAGGTGTACAGGTTTGAGAAATATGGCAGCAAATATCCTTTTGAGGTCATTTGGATTTTCCCTAAAGAAGGGCGTGAGCTTAGCTTATTTTGGCCGAATCTTACTACAAGCCATTTTATCAACACAACGCTGAGCTAGGATCAGCGTCAAATGAGAACTTCTTTTAAAATTAGCTGCCTGGAGATGCTGCCTCTTACAATATCCAGTCTTGCCAGAACCTGTGAATAGTCTGAACTACTGTCGGGACTTGTTCCTGGACAGAACCCTGACAGAATCTGATTGGCTGCCAGATTTTTCCCCACACCAATGGAGGTCCGAACGCAAACATGAAGCACCACAATGATGGAGAAAGGGCAGTGTGGAGTGCATGGAATAAAAATAAAAAACCAGTCACATCCAGCCACTGAGGTCTGGAGCAACAAAAACATCCTTGAACCCCCCTAACGTGTGTTTGTCAGGAGCCCGCAGTGGACTCGACCTGCACACACCTTGGCAGGGAAACGCCACAGGCCATTTGATAAAGGTGTGTAACTCCTTGAGAGGAGCGAGAGTAACGCTTGGGGGATGAGGGGAGCAGAGCACCGTGCTTCAGTAGCAGCCCGCGTACTTTGCCGGGGGGGCTCCTTCACATTCAGACACGGAAGCATGTGACCGCGCACGTGAGCGAAAACACACCGAGATGTCAATCAAACTAATTGCAAGTGGGCTTGCATGACACCAGGAGAGGAGAATGGGAAATAAGATAAAGGTTTTAATCAACTATGGTTTTGGACCGCTTAGCAGTGCCAGCAGCGGGGAGTGCGACGTGAAGGAGCTCCGGGCAGAAGCGTGCGGGTCACACTCACTGAAAAGAGCATAATAAGCTTGGCTTGCAGTGAGAATTATTCCTGGGCTCCCTCTTACAGTTGAAATAGCCACAAACATTTCCTTCAGCAGAACATGAAAACAAAATTCATAAACAGTATATATATATTTATATATATATATTCATATTCATATGAAAAAAAAAAATAAAATAAAAACAGCCAAATCAATGTCTTTTTTTTTGCTTTGAATCTAAACATGTTTTTTCTTTACCTATATATAGATTTATCTTTTCTTAAACAATAATATGTTCACATAATACAATGACAAATCAGTTTTGAGATAATCTAAATATTTCTTACTGAAACATCAATGTAATGACATGGAAGAGTGACTTTAAGGCTATCTCTATATTCAAAACAACATTAGCCCGAGAGGTTGAACGGTGCATTATTTCCTCACGCGATGTCATACTTGACTCTGTCTTGTTCATAAGGTGGCAGATGCAATGACCGAGCTAACTGGTCATAAACATGGAGCTTAGAGAAAATATGAGAACTACATATATACATGAACAGACAAAGAAAAAAAAAAATAGACAAAATAGAAACAGTTGAGCAAACATAACCGAGCTACGATTTTCAGGTGTGGAAGTACTGTGTATTAATGGGGGAGCATGTGAGTTTATTAGCTGGTGTTGGTTCTCAATAATTCTGGTGTAAAATGATCTTGTGTGTGCGACAGAAATACCAATAAAGATTTCAGCGTGCATTCAAACACATTTCATATAATGCAGATAATAAATGCAGAAACAGAATCACAATGTGCCTGTTGGTAGAAACATTTGTCACAGGACATTTCTTTCAATAGGACTGAATTGTAATAAAGTAGAACACAGCCCCAGGTGAGACAAGAGTTGGTCCATTTATCACTACGAAGTAAACATCTGTAAACTATTTGGCCTTGATTTTGTTTCCTGCCTTTGAGCCAACAAGGAGGCTGGAATTCAAATGAACACACTCAAATGACAAATCAGATAGCCACATTATTTCTACCAATCGCATTCTTTACCTCTTTTTTTCTCGAGGGTAACAAGTTTACGTGTCGAGCCAAAGCTTTGCTTGCATATTGCAAAGTGAATGGAATGTGCAGGGCACATTTATAACGAAGGAGTGACCTAATTAAGTGCTTATAACTTATTCCGCCCTTCTCCAAAACTCTTGGAGCAAATAATGGTTCAGAAAAGGGAAGTAGCCACATCTGGGTGGTCAGATATTTTTTTTGCTGTTACTTCCTTTTATAACCAGTTAAGTTAAAAATAAAGAGGGCTAGTGGAACATAAAAACATTTTCAACTCTCTAGAAATCAACCACAAATGTACCAAGTGCTCTGTTACACACATATAGTGCAAGTGCCTCGCTTTGGGTTTTTAGCCCTCCTCCTTTGGTTGACAGATCATCAAGATGCGCCTCTGTGGCGTTCGTAAACACAAAGATATTTTGTTCCCTTTGGGAAGGTGTAAAATTGAGGAGGAGGGCGATCTGTCTCTGTATCTTTTTATGGCCTTGCACGCTGCTGACTTCATGGTTCCAGTGCTGTCAGGAAGGTCTTTTAACACATTTTCTGTGGCAGGTGGTAGGTAAACAGTCTAGGTTTTGCCAAAAATGTAAAATAAAAAGAGAGAAAAAAAACAACATCAACAACAGTAAACATGGCACCTTAACAAAAACCAAAAACATAAAGAATAAGATAAAGTCGTTTTTGGTTGCAAAGTTGTCATGTGTAAAGCAAGAGAGAGAAGCTATTGAGTTAGTGCTGTATTCAGTTTAACGCCAAGTGTTAGCTGCTGGTTTTTGCTTTCTTTAGAATCACATCCCTGATAAAACAAAGAAAATGAATCAACTGGATAAAAACGTGACATAGAAAACAGTTCCTGTCTTCTGCTTTGATTGTGTGTGTGAATGCTGTTTTTATGTTGTAAATCACTGGCATGGTCCATCTGCTTTCCCTGACTGTAAATTGTATCTTTTTTGCATTGATCATTCACCTTGTGTGTCTCTATTCCTCCCTTTCTTTCTATGTGTTAACCCACCCTTCCCGGCTCTGCTGTACATTCCCTCTGGGCTGTCAGGAATGAAGAGCAGGTAAAGAACCGGGAGAAGCTGTGGTGTCAGTGATAAAAGATCACCTCAAAAAGTCCAGAAATAAAACAAGAGATGAACAAGTTGAAGTCAGAACAAAAACTGCGAGCATTACCTCCATGCTTTTTCATAAAGTTCTTCAAAAACTGAAGCAAAGAGGCCCATTCTTCTTTTGGATAAAAAAGTTTTTTGACAAAACACAAAAAAGCTTTTGGCCTTCTTTTCTGGACCCCTTCTTTGACCAGACTTTCCATTTAAAAACCAGAGCTTTACAAAACATAGAAAGATGCAACACTGAACCCAACATAAAAAACATAAGAGGAGATCTATTTTTTTCTTTTTTCTACACTGTTTAGCTGCACTGGGGTTTCCCCAAAAGCGGGAATGATGGGAATGGCGAGGCAGTACTGAGAATCCTGGACGGCAATGTAAAAAGGGGACTCCGCTGTCCTTTGGTTCCTTCCACAGCTGGAATGGTTCAGTGAAGCTGAGGAGGGTGACGACAGGGGGCGAAGCTGGACCTTGATGGACAGTTGCGACTTTGAGTTGAAGAAAACCAAATGCATGCAAAATGATGCCCCTCCCCCAGTTCTCCGGCGAAAAGGCAGCAGAGCCTGTTGGCGTGGCGCGCTGCGATGTTGGCGAGGAAACGCTCAGTCGGTGAATCTCTGGCAGGCCTTTTTCCAGCGGCAGGCGGTGCACCACATGTCGCGGTTCTCCATCCCGTATACCTTACGGCACTTCTTCCCTTCTCCACGCACCTTCCGACTGGGGAGGAGAGATGGAGAATAACAGATGAAATGGCAAATTCTTATGTTTTAATTATTAATATGATCATCAATCATGCAGAGAGAAAAAAAGAAACTGAAACAGATCTAAATGAAGTGACACTTTAGACTCTCATAGAGATGGATGCACAAACAGATCATTTTGAGAAATGATTTGCCTTCTTGCTGAGCGTTAGATGAGAGAAGATCAATACCTTTTGAGCTAGCTGTTTCCCCTTGTTCCCAGCCATAATGCTAAGCTCAAACCAAAGCTAAACAGCTGTGGCGTCATATTTAACGTACAGACATGATAACAGTAATCAAACGTCTCATTGAACTGAACTGATCAAAGCTTCTTTTTAATTGAGAGTTATTGAGCTTATTTGTGAGAGTCAATATTCCATCTTTCACATGAGGTTATTTTCAGTCAGTAAGGTTTAATGCAAGTAGAAAACCAGCATTGGATGCCTTTCTTGGTAATATCTAACATGAGCTTTCAATTTGTTGGCCTTTAAAAGGTCCAATGTGAAACATTAAGGATGATCTATTGGCCGAAATTTAATATAATATGCATAACAATGTTTTCATCAGTGTATAATCACCTGAATATAAGAACTGTTTTTGTTACCTTAGAATGATCCGTTTTTATCTACAGTCAACGAGTCCGGCGAGTTGAACTACCATGTTTCTACAGTAGCCCAGAGGGGACAAACCCTGGCTCTAGATGGGGGCCGTTGTGTTTTTTGTGCGTTTTGTTACCACCATAGTTTCTCCTTCGCACTTGGAAGGTGAGGGTGAAGTAGAGAGTTGCGATCTGCAATTACATTGCTAGATGCCACTAAATCCTACACACTGGACCTTTAATTGAAGCTATAAAGGTAATGTCACATAAGACTCAGCAAGCAGTCAGGATTCAGTACCTGAGGGCGGTGGTTGCTCTGGGAGGGGACGAGAGGACGGCGATGGTCTGGGAGCGCTGTTCACCGAAGCTCTGGCTTTTGCTGGGCGACACCTGAAGAAGGAAGACATGAGATTGTGATTATAAGAACTAAAATGGAACCGTGTCTGGTTGGTGTTCCACGTGCATTAAAGTTTCCTCACCGAGTTCCCAGTGAAAGTGACGGGCGGTGACTGCCAGGAGATGCTAAAGCTGGAGCTGTTGGTGGGAGTGAAGCTGGTAGAGGCTGAGCCGGCAGAGTTACTGTTGCTGGACGGGATGGACACGGGAGCCGTGGCCTGAGGGCAGAGGTCAAAGGTCAAAAAAGCAGTATTATCAAAATGGAAGAATGTATGTTGAGTATTTCTTCCCCTCCCCAAAGAAGTTTTCATTCTCAAAGCTCCGACTCCGCTTGGTTTGCTTCGGTTTGAAGCACTTTGAGTTTCAAACAGTTTTTGGTTTTCTATTATTGGTGTGGCTGAAAAAGAAAGCTTGTGGAGTAGTATCTAGAGCTGTGTCAAGGCCTTTTATTTTAATTCATTTAAACAATAGACGTCACTCTAAAATAATTTTGCTCCTTGCAATTCCTTCGACAAATGTTTAAACACAAGTGAGTGCCTCCAAATTGCTCCCGTCATTCACAAATTGTAATGTTTTGTTGCACTAAATGTCTAAAGATTTTGAGAGCAGCTTTAGGTGTCTCAATTTAACACTAATAACTTGTGTTACTGGTAAAACATGCAGCTATACACACGTAGCTGTCACATTCAGACTCATAGATTAATATGACAGATCTTGGTTAGAATTGATTTAGTGTGTCATTATTCCGTCTCCAATTACTTGTTCAAACTCGCTGCTGTGTGTTTTTGTAAACACTGTGACACATAATCAGGATAATGAGGACCCTGATAGTAGTGTGTGAGAGAAAATATGTGCATTTTGTGTGTGGCCTTATAAGTGTGTTGTGGTGTGTATATTGATCCACAGAGTGCATCGATCCCTTTATCTTGTGTGCTGTACACTGGATTTACCTGGTAGGCGTGGTCCGTGTGGATGAGGTAGAGTGCGCTAGGCGCAGAGCGGCTGAGCGGGGTGGTGCCGCTAGCGTGAGGCTCCTTGGTGTCAGAAGACTGCGGAGGTCTGTGGGAGTCCGGCAGCTGGCTGAGAGAAGGGAGAGGAGAGGGGGGAGGAGGAGGGGGAGAGAGGACGGATGGGGACACGGGGGACAGGCTGCTCAGCCCGTCGGCCACCGAGTCCGTATTGAGCTTGATCTCCGTGTAGTAGAAATCCTCCTCGCCGTCGCTGCAGTCCGAGTCACAGTTACGCCTAAAAACATATGAAAATATTTAGAGAGAAATAAGGACAAATTCCCATTAGAATGCTGGTTTTCTACATGTACGGTGTAAAGCAAAACACGTCAGTGCATTTACACACAACCCCCGTCCCCTTCTTCAACATTAACGTCACTCCCCGACCAACAAAACACTGTCACCTGCAGTTAATCAGTGTAATACAGAGCGGCCTCAGTTTAACTGAATGTCAGTATAAATGTGTGATATCATTGTTCTCCACTTGGCTCATTTTCCTTTCACCTGTCACCTCCTTGCTCACACCCAGAGCAGGAAGTGTTAACATAGTGATAATTCATCAGCTGTTAATCTGCTGCTTTGGCAACAAAGCTGATTGAGGGGTCACAGATGTTTGGAGGTTTTGAGTGAACTGTAGCTAAGGTATGCAGGTGTGTGTGTGTGTGTGTGTGTGTGTGTGTGTGTGTGTGTTTTGGTGACTTACCCCAGGTGGATGGTACGGATGTGTCTCTGGATACCAGCAGCTGTACTCAGCACCTTACCACAGTTCTTCCACAGGCATTTGAACATCACCTTCATGGAGTTCTGTGACAAACACACAAAGTAAGAAAACACAGGATAACACAAATAATTCCATGTTGACAGAAAGACGTATGGTTATTTTAGGTGTTAGGCTGATACTCTCATGTAACCACAGAGCAAACGACAAGAAATCCCAACCAACCAGATTTCTCACTTTGGAGGACGTGACCTTTCTTATCTGACACCATCATCACTGACACCACCAAAGGGTGCAGTAAACTCCCAGGGCTGTTGTCTCATAATATATGCATAAAACTCACTCATTCAATTAATCTCTAAACTAGAGAAGGGGAGAAACATCTGGTATTTCCCCCCCAGGGTTGATCAACTATACAAAATCACGTCTTCGTCATTATCAGGCAGGTAGGAGAATGTTTCAAGCACCTCAAGTGACTGCATAACTTATAGTACAAGCATATGAATTGCTCAATGTAACTGAGTCTTTTTTTCTTACTGACTGTGTTTAAAGAGTCAGTTTAGGATTTAGTTTAAATTAATGAAATAAAAATGTTTCTCACTATGCTGAAACTCCGGGAGCTCTCTGAAAAACCCTTAAATGCAAAACACATCAATTGCATTGTGGAGCTTTCATTTGATGTGAATGGGAATTTGAGCAACAGATGTGTCATACAGACAGAAGAAGCTTGTGGGGTACAGCAGACGGGACGTGCCGGCCTCAGGAACAAAAATGATGCAGATTTTCACCGGGAAACTGGACATTGATATATCCTGTAAGTATTTTTTAATATACTTTGTTTCTGTTTTCGAGAGCACAGTAGAAAGTTGACAACAACTGAAGAGACAAAAGCAAGATGAAATAGAACCAAAAAATGGTTGTTCTTCTACTAATACATTTGAATCATGTCATGTTGCTAACGCTGTCAAACTTCACTTTAGTAAAAAGTGAATATTTACTGTACACTGACAACAAAGGAATTAAACAACTTCACACTACACACTCCTTCATCTTTGTTATAGTTTGAACGCGCGCACACACTCAGCTTTATTGTAACAACACACATTTATCTCAGAGCCGAGTGAGGCTGAATAACAGTAAGATTTTCTCTGGTTGTGAGTTAGTGAGGCTCCTGTATCTTTTATCCGTCGACTGTAATTACACCACTGGCCTCCTAGAGAGACTGCACATTGTTTTTCACAGAGAGAAAAACCCTGTGAGCTTTCTCCCTGCCCTCCTGCTTCCCCGCTCGGAGCCATTATAAACGGTTTTATAGGCCTGTCTATCAAGCCATTGTTGAGGGGACTGATTTAATTTTGACAACATGTTGTTTTTTTTAATTTTCCTCCTCCTTTCAGAAATGCACGCGCACACAACAATCATCTGTCCCCCGTGCATTGTTTTGTCTTTGGGTAACAAAAGCCTGTTCTGTGTGTTAGTGAGTGTGTGTTATTCCCTTTAAAGGAAGCATTTCACGGTTAATTAAATGGTGAGCTCCAAATGGTATTGTCTTGCCAAGAGAGAAGCGAGAGGACCAGAGGAGAGTGTAGATAATTTCATGTGAAACCTTGGCATCGCACATATAGCGTGTGTGTGTGTTTATGTAAGTCAACTGCATTGTTATCCAGGCTATTAGAGAATTTGTTTTTGTCTCCATCCCTTCTCCATTCCCTCGTTCTCCTTCCTGTAAGCCCCCCTTTAATTCTTCATCAATCATCATCCTCTGGGTTTCTCTTTCCCACTAAATCTCTCTCCCTCACCCTCTCTCTCTCCATGCCCTTCTTTGTGATAAGTCCCCAATTAATACAGTGTGGCGTGCTCACGTGGAGCTCACCCAAGAGTCTTTATCGATTTTTTAGAGGAGACATGAAGCCGGCAGGATCTTTATGTTTGCTGTGGCGGGTATTAAAATCATTACTGGCGTTCTGGAATGGATGCATGTGAAAGCTGAGAAGTAATTATGAAGGGCAAATGTCTGGGGAGGATAGACACATATAGAGAGACAGGAGAAAATGGTAGAGCAAGAGAGGAAGTGGGGAAGAAAGGGAGAGAGGGTGAGAGGGAGCGAGAAAGGACAGATAGATGGATGATACTGACAGTGAACGACAAACCAGCTAGTAGGAGTGCCAATGGGGGAGAGAAATAAAGAGAGGGAGAGCAAAGCAATATACATCTAAAAAAAAATAATGAGTGACACTGAGCAGTCGATGTGATGAGCTGTCAGTGGTGTGTGGAAATGAGACCAGTCGAAATGATGAGTGCGAAAGAAAGTGTGTGTGTGTGTGTGTGTGTGTTGTGGTCATAACATCTGGGCAGACAAAACTACCACTGGAGCAAAAGGCTGAGTGTCCTTTCCTGTCACATTTTCATCTCTGCCAATCAGTCAGTCAGATTCTAAACTACATCCATAACCTCAGCTGTTAATATATCACAGTGTGTTCAACCAGCTTGTGAATATCTGACAGCACATCAAAGACAAGCTCCTGACCCTTTTCTTATCGAGCAATGCACCTGTTATCAGGAGAACTGCTGCAATTTTCTTTTAAAGCCTTTAGTTTAATATGTGACTCTGACAGATTCACACTGAAATAAAAGAAAAGTACTGTTGAAACTGTTTCTAAACCATCTGGGGCACATAAGGTCATGATCATTTTTGCTTTACTTTTACTAGAAAGTGTGAGGAATGAGGTGGTAACTGGACAATTTAGTTGGGACTTGCAGCTGGAGAGAAAATGGCTTTTAAAATAACTCTTTTAAGGTTCATTATTCTGAAAACTACTTCTACTTCTAAAATAGCTTAATTTGAAAATGCAACTTTCCTGCACTGTATTTTTCACATCCCACTTAAGGAATCCCCTCTGAGTAATTTTTTTAATCTATTTTTAGGTTTGAACATTATAAAGTTTTTATTGTCAATAAATGATCACACTGGGATCACTATAAATAATATATAAATATATAAATCAATCAAACCAGCCAACCCAATTTCTTCCCTTATGGAACCTAATCTTTGACACTCACTGTGTATGTTAATATGACACAATCCAATTCAGCCTTCTTACTAATCAAGGGTTAGATTGATTCTGTGTATTTTTGTTTGGTTGATGAATATTTGGATACACTTGGATTACACCTGTTTTAGTTATTTTATGACAAAATAAAAAACATCCTAAAATAGTCATTTGATTGACGTCTCAGTGCTGCAGCGCAGGAAGTACCTGGTTTACCTAGTTAATGGGTAGCATTTAAAACCATAATTAAATCACTCTTTGTGCTAATTCAGCTGTCTGTGAACAGAAACAGAGTATGTAAATGAGAACTAAAGTTCAGCTACATTTAAAGACATGACAAGTGATCATGAAGAGCAGAAGGTTTAACCAGCTGAATTTTAGTGGAGTAAGTGACCCTGTACCACTTATAACCAGATGATGGTTGTTGTGAACAATGTTGATGTTTGCCAACCAAAAGAGGATGAAGAATAAGAAACTGTTGTTTTCTTACTGCCTGCAGAACTGGCCTTTCATTATGGACTACAGTATTCACCTTGCGCTTGCGAGGGATGGGCTCATCAAAGAGCAGGCTGCTTCCGTCCTGCTCGTCCAGGCTGGGGTCTTCAGGCCCTGCAGGGCCGGGTCCCACACCGCCCAGACTGGGCACACGGAAGGGCTTGAAGCTGTCAGCCGAGAGTGGCGGGGAAGGTGTAGAAGGGTTGGACTGGTCACTGGGGGCAGACCAGCTCCAGTAGCCCCCTGAAGAGCTGTTGCTGGACGGAGTGAAGGGGCCAGCTGAACCGTTGTCCTTCCATGAACCACTCAGACCTTCTAAGGAGATAGAAGTGAAAAGAAAGGAGAGATGTGGAGGGAAAAAAGGAGAACATGAGGAAAAGGAAGGGTAAGCGATGAAGAAAGGTAAAGCATTAGAGTAAACCTTGAAAGAAATCTAACTTATTCATAGTCATATAATCATATTTGTAGATGATACAAACAGAACAAAACATCTCTGTGTTCCTCTGTCAATAAGGGGAGATCAAGACACTCAATTAAGTTCAGACAACTGTATTTGCACTTCACACAAAAGAGCCTCAGACGCACTACCGTTGACTGTGACACAAGAAAATAAAGGTTACTTTCTTGTTCTGTGACTCCCCTGAGACACTTCCAAGGTCTTGTTTTTTTTAGATCAAAGCAACATTTCTTTTGAATATCAGCTACAAAAGGCATTTCACTTTGTGAAGGTTGAGGCTGGGGAAAACTTTGGTGTGTGTACATGAGTGTGTATGAGAAATTATATGTGTGTGACAGAAAGAGTGAGTCAGAAAGTTAAGAGCAGACCTAGTTTGTTTGGTTTAGTAAAGCTGCTTCTTGGTGGGGTGTCTCGCTTCTTTCTTTACTCTGTTTCCCAGAAAAGTGGCTCACCGACAATAAGAAAGCTGCTCTGATATGCATTTGGTTTATGGTACAGAAAAGCAAATATTATGATTGAAGAAGTGCTAATAATATCAAGATAAGAAAATTCCATTGTATTGGCAAATTATGAGTGATATGAATGTCATGGCGTTAGGCTCGATTAGAAGCTCAGCGCACTGTGCATGAGAACCTACTATGTGTACTGATGTAAATGCACATTGCATCATCTCCAACATGTGTACATGGGTGTGACTTCTGTATGACTTCATTACGATAAAACTATATAGTCTGTATTTAAAACCCACTTTGTGCATGTGTGCATTATGTATGGGATGTACGTTTAACATCTGAGCGCATGTGTGTGTGACTGTGATAGACACGTGCATGGTGGTTGGAAGGTTGGCTGCAAATGGGCAGTCAGTTGGTTGCACTGATGATCTAAGTGGTTGCGTGTGATTGCAGTTACGGGGGCACTTTGGATTTCCGCCACTGTGACAAGTGGCAGAGATCCAGACTCATTGTGCTTTTCTGTGGATTTGCAGAAGTCATTGATGACAGAATCCTAAAGCACAGCCGGTGGCAGTAATGTATCAACCTAAGCTTCCATATGCATTCACAAGATAACAGCTGCAAGGGGATGAAAAGTCAGCGCACAGCAGAACATATAAATTACAGGTTATAGATGATAGATGGGCATGTGCAACTGATGGATGAACGTGTTTGTTCAATTTTACTGTCAGAACCCAGTGTTTCAAAAGGACATCCCTACTTAATCAGTTGTTTAATAGTTATGATACTCACCGTTGACTTTGACAGGTGGACTCCTGACCAGTGGGCTGGTGGAGAGGCTTGTCAGCACCATGGCAGCCGTCACCTTGTCCATATCCACTTCCTCCTCTGACCGTCTGTGAACACACAACAGAAAAAGAGGATCATCTTACTGAACTGTTCCCTATATATTATTACACAGCTGGACATGAAGTGTGCGTAGCCCAAAAACACATTGTCTTTTCATTTCCCTGGCCAGATGTTCTCAGACATAAATCAGGCTTTCTGATCTGAAACTCACTCATCTTTGCATTCTGCTGCAATGTCCGACACATGAGCAGCTAATAACATGTAAGTTTAGTTTTTTTTGTCCTTTGTAGGCGACTGAGGCAATCACCCAAACACCTTCGGAAAAAATCAACTGTCAACAGCTGAAATGCTACTGTACAAAATAAAAATGAATGTAAAACTAAACTATACAGATGAAGGTCCTGTATTCAATCCCTAAAGCCTGTGATATCAACATGAACACTGCACTGTACACATACTAGCCAATCCCTATGGCAGATTGTAACCACACACAACACATGTATTTGTCTCTTCTAATTGGCGCACAGCAAACACACACTAGGAGACAGGTGACTTAATCCTCTCGGTTGTATTCCTCAGAGAGGCAATCCCTGTGATCAAAGAGATGTCAATAGCTTTATTACTGACAGTAAAGCTATGGTACATGCTCACTATTAACGTAACAAGCAGTCTGTGTGTGTGTTTTTGTGTGTGTGTGTGTGTGTGTGTGTGTGTGTGTGTGTGTGTGTGTGTTTTGTTCCTGAGCAAGCAAGACTTTGATGTGAGTTTGAAAGTCAAATGATCAAAGTCAATTCTATTACGATGATGAAATCTCCTGCTGCTTTGGAAAAAAATGCAATCAGCCATCACTAAGTTCTCACAGCCACTGAGATCAAATGGTAGTTTATACTGCATCTTAATTGGTATGTTGGCAGCAAGGCAACAATCTATTGAAATAAATAACCCATCTTGTACTTTACTAATACCTGTCAAACAAAACAAAAAAAGCCCACCTAATAGTTAAGAGTAGAGGGTAGAGGATTGTACAAGTTATGCAAAAACTGTCAGATGATGCAACATTTATTCTCCTCCATCAGCATTTAGTGTATCTACACTGGTTATATCAGCACATCCTTTTTCTTACCTGATCATGGCAAATTTCAATTAGATCCTTAAAATCAAGAACTATTTACTCAGTGACAGGAGACATGTAGTGACTTTCACTGCCTCTTTAAAAGGGGAACCAATTTACACCCCAACAGGAGATGACCCAAAGAATACTGTGCAACCAAAACCCAACAGTGGTGAGGTTTAACAACAACAGTGTTGAGTGGCCCAGTCGAAAGCCCAGACATGACTCCTGATGTTTATTTTTAGAATGGCTTTAAGACACAGATGGTCTCCTTCCAAGTTCACCGAGCTTAAGCAAATATAGAAAAAAGAAAGTCCCAAAATCCAGATGTGCGAAGCTAAAACAGATGTGTTTAAGATGACTTAGAGGACTCAAAACTGACCAAACCTACTCCACAAAGTACTGACTGAATGAGACATTTCTGACTCTATAAAGGACACATTTTCATATAATTACATTTTCTTTGTCAAAATCATACTGAAGTATTAATTATGGATCATGTTTAACCAACTTTGTATCTAGCTATGTCTATGTGTTGATCCAAAGAGTAATCCTTTTCCATAATGGGTAACAAAGTCTGTAAAGAATGCAGCACAGGTAAGCAGAGCAGCTTTGTGCAGTTGTATTGTGAACACTTTTTAATTGGATTTTTATTGGATTTACTGCAGCTCTTCATGGAACTACTACTAAATATTTTATATACATGCTTTTGACTTTTTCCCCTCCAACTCATTATTTTCTTTCAGTGCAAATGTTTATTGTTTGTGCTGCGATGAGTAATTGACAGAGCTTCATGGCAAGTAACAACCAAACCAACCTGCCTGTCACAAAATGAGGTGATGCTTCACTGTTTGTGTGCGGATGATGAGACAATATTCATTACAGATTTGTTTATCTGGTCTTTATGGGTGAAGCAACAAGCTAATGTTGATCAACAGTGTTTTCATGTCATGGATGCCTGATCTCCACCACACGTGTTTTCATGTTTCTGTGCACCTCCACACAAACTTTAGATGGTGTTGTTGACCGTAGTGCAGCTGTGTGTTTCTCCAGATTCATTCAGCCAGGCCTTATTTATGCCTGTTAGTGTCTAGTGACAGTCTACAAGTTAAAGAAGAGCAAGAGGGGATTTCCAACTTTTTGTCGTTTTGATGGGGAACAAACTTTTGGAGAATTTTTGAATTATTTTTAGGTTGTATCAGTTTCACAAAACTGAACCAGAACACAAATCAACTGCATCAGTAAAATGGAAGTTGTAATTTATAAACTTGAGCTTTTCCAGTTAATTTGGTTTTCTAAACATTTGTGAAAAAAGACTGACCCCTATGTCCCATCAAAAAACACATGGCAATAGATAACAAATAAAGGGTTGACTTAACTATCTTCATAATTTTAATTAATCTATAATAGAACAGTGATCTAATACACACTAAACAATAGAAATATTACTAGACCACGGATATTAAAATAACAAAGCATTCATATTATAATATAGTAACAGTAAGTAATAGAGGAGCACTGTAACTTTGCATAAGGGTAAAGTCCTAAAAGTTAGAATCTTGCTATCAATAATTTCCTTGTGAATAACTATACAGTTTCAACATAAATGTGAGCACTCTTAATTCACAGGCAAAAGGGAGGGATTGGGTTATCCTGTGAGAAGAGAAAAGAAGGGAAGAGAAGCGAAACGAAGGGGAGAGCGGGAGCTAACAAAGAAAGAGCCTCAGCCTCCATTAGCTGATGTCTAATTTATTACCCTTTCCACTGCTGAATATGATGTCATTACAGCCTCCACATAAATCAAGAAATGAAGCCGTGCACACAACTGCCACTTTTAGCCATAACCCCCCCATCCTATGTTGCCGTAAAACCACTTCCTGGTCACCTTGGGAGGCCATCATGTGACTATAGATATTATCTCCACAGCAATGGTGACAGACAATAATTACTGGGTGCTTTGTCTATCTTGAAATATGAAAGAGTAAATCTCAGAAAAACACATTAGGAGGACTAATAATTAAGATGTGATGTATGAGCGGGAGAGAAAAACAGAGCGGGAAAGGGAATTTCCCAAATTGCATTTGCCATTAGAGGTCTTATCAAACTTAGTTTTTGTCCAAGTGCTTATTGTGGCTATAATTAACACACACACACTGAGAGCATGTGTGTGTGTGTGTTAGAGAGAGACATGTTAAAATGAATCATACATGTGACACAGGAGACACAGTGGGATGGTTAATGGATTGGTAAGTGAATTCTGATAAATGAGTTTCATATGTTGCCGTGTTTGTGTGTCGCTGTATGTGCCACAGAGTGTGTGTGTGTGTGTGTTGTTTTAATATTCTTACTTCACTAACTTGCAATAAGACATCCTCCAATACCTGAGGCTTCCTAAAAGAAACAATATCATGGGCGTACCGCAAGAAAGCTTGTTTACTAATGCAGATTACATGAAAAACATACATGTAATTTTATCTTTCTGCTGGCTATTTATAACGGGCAAAACAAACATATTAGTACAGACGCTGCTAACGTTGTTAATACTTTTAAAGACTTCCAAGGTTTTTTAAATGACTTTAAAAAAGGACACTGACTCTTTAATTATATATACAGTATATTCTGTTCAGGTAGCATCACTATACAGTATGAATTACCGTACAAGGGATTTCAACTATCTTAGCTTTTTTTTATTTAAAATGCATATATATTACTGTCCACTACACAACACTTTCATTATGATACAATTTTACATGTACATACAGTGCCACATTATGATATATATATATATATATAATTTTGTGTTGTTTTCTTAATTCCTAAAAACATGGAAAATAGGTTTTACAGTTTCTACATAGATCTTTGACTACTGAGAAAACTAAAGGAGTTAAAATTAGAATCATAGATGAGTTGGGATTCCTCGCTGTGAGATCTAAAACAACAGCTCCCTCTTCAGGGTTCTTATGAGTTTGGTTGGAGATATGGCTGTTTGCCAATCTGCCAATGGGCTGTGTGTGTGTGTGTGTGTGTGTGTGTGTGTGTGTGTGTGTGTGTGTGTGTGTGTGTGTGTGTGTGTCGTGTGCTGAAACTTGTTGTACTTTCCTGGACAGATGTGCCAACTGCTTTTAGGTACCACAAGTGAATTCAACAAAACAAAGGGCCTGCATGGGAACAAGTGGGGAGGGGGGCAGAGTGAGATTGTGTGTGTGACGCTAAGTCTCCACCATTGTGGGGGACAGGCAGTGTCCAGTTTCAAACAAAACACTGGGCAGGGAGAGAGACAATAACAGGGGTTCAAGTTACTGCGGCTATCTTAGTTTGACAGGTAGATGTGGTCCAATGAAATGTGGGCCTGGTTTTGTTTTTTCATCACATTTTGAATCTCAGTTTGATGTTTAAGATGGACAAAATGAAAGAGGGTCAGAACAAAACTAAATAATTGAAGTAACTGCTACTTTACCTGGAAGGTGAATGGTAAACACAGCCCTTAACATACCAAGAAAGTCAACTCAATACATCAACTTCAAACTTAAATGCATAGAAACAGAATTTAAACATTCCTTAAAATGAGGTCAAAGGAATCTTTAAGTGAAACTGCTGTACAAATCTTTGCAATTCTCTACTTATCCTTGAACAATATTTGGCTGCATACACACAACTCAACAGCCCTTCACTTACAGCTAATGAGGGAAAACTTCAGTCCAGAGTCAACAAAATTATCACAAGTCAAATTCTTGAAAAGTTCAGACACAACACTGTTGATGTTCACATGTAGCCACAGTGCAATACGCCGTTTAAAATGTGTAATCTTTCTGAACAAATTCCCTTTCCAAAATAATTCAGAGTAAATGGGCCAAGGTCAATCTCCATACACACACAAACCCCCATGTAGCTTTAGTTTGTTACCCAAAAACTATCAATCATTTCTAATGAAGGCAG